AAAGGTCTATATGTGGTTCAGGAAGTTCAAAACCCACACAGTAAATCACCCTTAATGAAAGCAAAGGAGTATATTTTTATTTAACCTCTTTATGGCATGCAGTAAAATCTTTAACCCATGCTCTGGATTAAATTATTTTTGGGTATTGGTAATACCAGTAACCGCTTCCCTTGCCAAGTGATAACAAATTTGAGAAATACTTCTAAATAATTATATTCCTTTTCCTGTGATTCAGTATAAAGCAAGTATTTAGCCTGGTTTTCCTGATCCTACATGGGTTAGGGAATCCTATGAGGAGTAAAGAGCTGAAATCAGGTTACAGATTCGTTCCAACTTGATATATTCCATTATTCTAACTCCAGAGAGACTTTCAAGCCCTCATAGAAGAGAGATAATTAGCTTTTGTCTCATTAAGAGTAGCATCAGCTTGTAAACAGCAAAGAGTTTATGAAGCAAGTCAATGTAAAGAGCACTGCTATCTTTCAGCAGGTAATTTAACCTGAGAAAGTACTTTATGTTGTTTTATTTTGGTTTTTGTATTAAGTAATGAAAATGTAAAAGCTATTTTCTACATGCTATAAAAACTATTCAATTTTCTTCGATCGAGGGTTTTTGGTAAAAAATAGTAAGAAAGTTGAACAGGGGATTTACAACTGAATATTAGATAAGCTTATTTTTATTACCTGTTTCAGGTTTAAACTCCCAAATAAAAACTACTTTTCTAGAAGACATGGTCTTCAGTGATTTACAGATAAAGAAGTGCAAATAGAATGGAATAGTTCCCTTATTCTGTAAAAACACCCAAATAATCCCTCTCTTCTCCTAAGACTGGATATATCATCATTAGAAGTCATCACAGGTCAAAAAAAAACCAAAAAACCTTGACAGATGACTTAAATCACTTGAGTCCCAAAATGTATCTGCACATTTATATACCAATGTTAATAGAGAATGTTTTAACAGAAATTCAACAGTCACAAGACGAAGGCCATTAGGAACACAGCAGATTCCAAACACAGCATGTAGACTCCACACAATTTGGCTTCTCAAAGCAAATCCACCTTCTCATAGGTCTTTTCAATAAGGGTTAACAAGTTCTTCAAGTTAGCTGACTGCTGAATAGCATTCATATCCTTTAAAAGGCCCTTCTGATTCTTTACCTTCAAAATTTCCTCCTAAAGAAGGAAAGAATCATAGACAACAAATAAAAAAAACACTTTTGTTGAGTGTAAGAGGAATTTCACTTTCATGCAGCCCAGCTACAGCTCAAACAAAAATAGATACAAAGTCACAGAATGAGTCTTCCCTCTATCAATTATCTATATATTTCAGAAATTACAAGTTCCCTAGGGCCATAGGGTTTCTAGGAAAAGACAGGCGATGTTTTAAATCATAAGATCACAGAATTGTTTGGGTTGGAAGGGACATTAAAGATCAGCTTGCTTCAACCCCCTTCCACAAGGTTCCACTATCCCAGGCTGCTCAGAGCCCCATCCAACCTGGTTTTGAACACTTCCAGAGATGAGGAGGGTTTTTAGGGTTTTGTCTTTTTTCTAAAGCATAAGCATGTAGTTCTCAAGGAAAAGAACAAAAATATAACATGAAAAATGAAAATCTATTCAAATTTTCTGAATTTTCAGAATTGTCCCCTCTGGCAGAAGTTAAGGGATAAAAGCACATTCTCTTGCCTTCCTCCTCATAACCAAAGTCCCTCTGAAAAGATAAACATATATTCTACACTAACCTGCAAAGTAGGTGCCTGAAAACTGCACTTGGGGAGTTCTGGAAGCTGGAGTGCTCCACTGCCATTTTCCTGAAATACCTAGAAAAAGAAGAAGAGAATGAAAGAAACCAATCCAAACCGCCAAGTATCAGGCAGACAAGTATGAAAATAACCTGTCATTATCCAATTTCTGAAAACAAGCTCAATTATGCAACTGAAGTTGGAAAGATTAAGATCCATTCCCAAAAGCAAATGAGGCCTTCCTTAAATGACACTGCCTGAGAAACAGCTTGCTTGAGAAAGCTCTGGAAGTCAGCCCATTCCTCTAGGTTACAGGAGTATACAAGTTTTTATGAGAAATACCTTCCTGGCATTTTCTTCATCTTTCTTTAACTGGTTCTTGAGCACCTGGATTTTGTACTGCAGTTGCTGTATATTTTCCTCAATGAGCTCTGCTGATCTCTCTGCTTCGGTTATTTCTTCCTAAAACAAACAAACACAAAACTGGAAGAAAATTTACTTTAGAAATGGTGAATCCTTCCCACAGAACACACTGAGTGACTGAAAAAACATCCAAAAAGAGACAGTGCTTTGCAGCAAAGGTGGCTGACAATGAACACTGGACACCCCTCCACAACAGCACAAGCATGGCAAGCAGTGTGATAAGGTATTTTTTTCCCTTCCTTGCTTTTCCTACCTGCAGTTGTACCAAAGACTCCTCATTTGTCTCAAGCATTTGTTTCTCTGCCATTTGAAGGCCCAGGATATTCTTCAGGTTGCCCAGCTTCCCTGGAGGCACTGTTAAAGTCTTGAAACTTCTCAGCACCCTTCAATTACAGAAAAAGGAAAGCATGACTTGTTTGGAGTTCTTTGCAAAGCAAAAAGAAAATTCTGGGGGAAAACTAATCTCACTGTAGTTTTAAACTTAATTGCTGCCAGTGAAGTAAATGACTGCAGAGGGAAAGAAAAACTGCCTTGAATTGTTTTCCAAAATCATGTGGAGCAGGTGTCCAAGGAAAGAACCAGGAACAACAAATTCCAAAATTTTCATGTTTGCTATTGCACTGACCTTGTGTGGCTTATATTCCACTGGCCTCTACACTCCCCGACTATAAACCAACATTCATTAATATTCTCCTAATATTTTCCCAGTTCTGACCTTTCTGCTTCTCAAATTAAGTTCTAAAAGGAGGCCGCAACTGCTTCCAGATTTTAATAAAACCTGGAAATGCTTTTATGAAAAATGGTACATAGCTTTATATATATATATATCTAAATATATATATGTCAGAGAGAATATTTTAGCTCACCCTCAAAGTATGGTACAAAACAACTGGGTAGAAGGAACCTTTTGTCTCCCTCTTTTCTTTTAATTTATAATTTATTACCTGTTTTTCAGTACATTGAGGTGCTTCTGAACATCATCTTTTTCCTCTGTCTGTTGGGACAAAACAGATCTGGAAAGATAATACAGGCAGAATTTCCATCACAAAGGTCTCGTCCAACACAAAGTGTGCAAGCACAGAGAACACATCAAAAAACACATTTACTTCCCATTGAAGTAATACTATGATTTTTACTTTGTTGCTTGAGGAAATAAAGAAGAACCACTAGGATATTTGGCACTTACAGTACTACTGAATCCACTGTATTTTCCAGGAATTGCCTACTGTTCTCTGAGAGGGGCTGCCAAGATCTTATTGTAGCACTGGACAGCTTCACCTTTTTTGAAGAACCATTTTCTCCTGTTATCACAAAAGGAAAAAAGGGAAAGGGATGACTTGTCAAACCTGGACAGACAGCTTTGTGACTCAGTTCAGTCAGACTGGAGTCAAAGGTGTAAAACAGTTCAGATTTAACAGGAAAAAACAGGACCCTACCTGCAGGGGAATAGTCCTTCAGATCCTTAACTTTCCTTTTGTCTGTCTGAGGGACCTGCTGAAGGGAAAAAATTACCACAAATGTGGCAATTTTGAGACATCCTCTGCTGTGCAATCATACCCCAGTAACTTTTCTACATGTTTGATCCAAAATAATGAATACCTGTCTTTTTTTACTTCGTTTTCTTCCTTGTTTATCTGCTCCCTTTTTTTTGCTGGAAGGCCCTTGCTGATTTTGTGATTTTAAAGGAGATTTTGCTGATCTGCCACCACTTGGTTTCCCCATTTCATTGGAAGATGCGTGGCGGGGTTTCCTTATCTGTAAACCTAGGGGTACAGGAGGAAATAAAGAAAAACTTAAAATCCAGCAATTATAACCCTTAAAGTGCAAACCATACTTTAAAAAAACCATGGAAATTAGGCACAACCCAATAAGCCCCAAATGAGCCTAAATGAGATGAAATGTTTGAATATTTACTAACCGAGAGCCCAAATCGTGTAAATTGACCTAAACGTAGGACCACCAAAAAATCATCCCCATTTGAAAGATATCTCTGCCCACAGCACGGGGTTGGAAATAGATAATCTTTAAGGTCTCTTCCAACCCAAACCATTCTGTGATTCATCTTTCTAACTTTCAGTGCAGTCATCAAATTACCAGAACTTTTTAGCTTAGCACATAAACACATTGGTGTCTGATGCAGTTTAAACCAACAGATTTTTTTTCTTACTCTAGAGACAGAGGCTAAAGCCATCACACGGAAGGGAATAGCCACAAACCCCACCACCCTTCTCGCCTCTAAAGCACCACGATTCAGATTTATTCAGCTTTTCACTCACCCCCTCAGGCCACTCTTTCCCTCACTCAGGTCCTGTCACTTCTCACCAGGCAAGTGTTAAAACTGATAGCAGACAAGTAAGCCCCGGCTGGGTTAGTGAGGCCTAAAACAGGTAAAGAAACCATATGCCGGGTAAACAAACTCCACACCAAGTAAATAAGCCCTAAACCAAGTAAATAAGTCCTGCATGTCCCCCCCCCTTAACTATCCATGTTGTGGGACAGCTTTTACAACGGACCGCAAATAAGCGCTGGACTACAACTCCCGGCATGCATCGCTCCCCACCGCCGCTTAGAAGACACATCCGTGGATTGCAGTGCATGCTGGGAGTTGTAGTCATTCCCCACCCATACGATCTCGCATCCCCAAATGCCCGCTTCCCGGTGCTTCTGGAGAGCAGCGCGGATAACAACTCCACAAAACTCTTCCTTCTCCTCCCGGTTCATGTCTCCCCAATCCTCACCTTCCCGGCGCTGCCTGCCCCGCCTCAGCCCGCCGGGACGTTGCAAAACAAACCCGCGCTTCCCGCGGCGCATGCGCAACGCCGCTCCCGCCCACCGCGCGTGCGCGGGGGCTGCGCGCTGACGGAGGGGCCGGTGAGGTAACGGGAGGATCCCGTCCCTGACCCCATCCCGATCCCTTTCCTTGTCCTTGTCCCTGTCCATGTCCGGAGCCCCGAGCTCTGCCCCTGTCCTTGTCCTTATCCCCTGTCCCAGCTCCCGGCTGTCCCCATTGGCTGCCCGAGGGGCGTGGTGGGGGCGGGCGCGGTCCCGGCACGGAGAGCGGAGCGTCCCTGTCCGGCTGTGGGTGCTGAGGGGAGAGGGGTGTGGAGAGGGGTGACAGGCGGGGATGGGAGATGGGCAGAGGGGAATTGTCTGAAAGTGAACAAGGGTCAGTGCAGCGTCCAGCTCCGGGGCAGGAATAATCCCGGCGTGCTTTAGGAAGAGCATTGCCAGCAGGAAGGTGATCCTGCCCCTCTGTTCTGCTCTGCTGAGGCACATCTACGGTGCTGTGTCCAGTTCTGGGCTCCTCAGGACAAGAGAGATATGGAGCTCCTGGAGTGGGTCCAGTGAAAGTTGGCAAAGATGATGGACAAACTGGAGCATCTCCCTGACAAGAAAAGGTTGAGGGATTCAGTCAGTTACAGTTCAGCCTCCAGAGGGGCCCTCAGCCCTGGGTGTCCCTGTGTGCAGCAATGGCACCAGAGAAACGGGCAGGAACTGATGCCGAGGGAGTTCCACCTGGACACAAGGAAGAACTTCTGTACTCTGCAGTGACAGAGAGCTGAAGAGGCAGCCTCCACCGAGAGGCTGTAGAATCTCCCTCTCTGGAGATATTCCAGAAATGTCTGGACACAATCCTGTGCCCAGTGGTCTGGGATGACCCTGCTTGAGCAGGGAGGTTGGATCAGATGAGCCACTGTGGTCCCTTCCAGCCTGACCCATCCTGTGACCCATGCAGGGGTGTGGGCACAGGTTGCCTTCCTTCCTGGCTGCAGCATCACATCCCCACAGGGCATGAGTGTTCCTCAGGAGCTCCTCTGTGCTCCTCAGGTTATAGGCATACCACACTTAGCATATATATTCTTAAAGCACATGTTTGGAGGGTGTTGCTGCAGTGATACAGATGCTCTCCAGTTTTATGCAGGATTTCTCATAAAGGTGTCAGGGAAGTATGTGTTTCTTGGGAGTTGTGAAAAAGATGAGAGAGTGAGGAAGTGACTGACCCTTGGAGCCAAGCTGTAAAGGTTTTATTTTTGTAAGGAACTGCCAGGATAGGGTATGGAGAGCAGAAGCAGAGGAGCTTACAGCTTTTAAGACCTACTGAACTCACAGACTGGTTTGAATTGGAAAGGACGTGAAAGATCATCTCATTCCAACCCCTGCCATGGGCAGGGACATCTTCCACTAGACCAGGTTGCTCCAAGCTTCATCCAGCCTAGCCTTGGACACTTCCAGGGATTGGGCAGCCACAGTTTCTGTGGACAATCTGTGCCAGGGCCTCACCACCCTCACAGGGAATTGTTCACATTGTTGCCCCTATCAGTTTCATGCATGGTGGGACAAGCTCTGCAGCTTGTATTGTCCCTGTGTTCTCACATACCACATTTTTTTTTCTCCTTTTTTTTTCAATGTCTCACTAGTTTCCATCCAGCCCAAGCCATCTTTTCCAAAGTGTTTGATTATATCAGCAATTTGCTGACAGCTCACTTCTTTCAGGGCGCCTCCTTGATGCTGAATACTGGGAAGAAATTCTGTGAGGGTGGTGAGGCACTGGCACAGGTTTCCTAGAGAATTGTAGCTGCCCCAGGCCTGGAAAAGCATCACTCTTTGACATGAAGGAATTCCTAGATGAGAGAGATGTGAAGGTGAGAGGGTAGCTGGCCATGCCATCTTCATGTCTCACACTGGCTTTTCAGTGTCTGATTAATGACACTGATGCTGAGGGACTGAAATAAGTAACACATCTCAGATGTGGATATTGATAAGTTGAGGGAATGTTTTCCTTGGTTAGAGGAAAATGTAGGATTTTTCCTGAACTCTGTTCCTGGTTGAAAGGCAAGAGGAAGGGCTGTCTGTCAAATCAGTGCGTGCACAACACATTTTGTTTTTCTCCTGAGGGATTGCTTTGGATTTAGCAAACTGCATGACCTCTCCATCCTCACAACTGCTATGTTAGGTGCATATGATAATGCAAAATGGATGTTTTTATTCTGTCCAGCTTGCCCCACCCTGCGAGGAGAGCCATGCTGAGGGCGGGGAATGCTGTCCTGCGGCTGCGACCGCGCCGCTGTGCGCCCCTGGCCTGGCGCGCCCTGCACAGGCAGCCGCTGCACCCCGAGTGGGCTGTCCTGGCTCAGAAGCAGCTGAAAGGCAAGAACCCAAAGGATTTAATATGGCACACCCCAGAGGGAATCGACATCAAGCCTTTATACTCCAAAAGGGACACGGAGGACTTCCCTGAGGAGCTGCCAGGGGTGAAGCCTTTCACTCGAGGGCCCTACCCCACCATGTACACGTACAGGCCGTGGACCATCCGCCAGTATGCTGGGTTCAGTACAGTGGAGGAGAGCAACAAGTTCTACAAAGACAACATCAAAGGTGGGGCAGCTGGTCTGGGGGAACAACACTGCCTTGTGAAGCAATGGGGGACAGGAATTCAGTCAGTTACATGGAAAATGTGATTATTCTATGCTGTGAGTTTGGATTTCTGATCCCAGTGGCACTGTCTTTATTACTGGGAAATTGGATCATTTCTGGAAGTGCCTTTGTGTCATTTTGCTGTGGAGAATGAATGTGTTAAATGCTGCTTTTAGTTATTGCACCTTAACACATAGACATCATTTGCATCCATCCCAGGGTTCAAGCAGCTGAGATCAAGGAGCTGAAGCAGAAGTGGTAACCTGGGTTAGCTGGTAGCACAGCCCAGTCACTGGTCAGAGGGGCAATGCCTATGGACAGCAGAGTTTTGGGTTCTGCTTACAGGTTGCAGCAACAAGAGCTTTGGCTATCCTGTTCCCTGCTTTATGTGAATAATTTTCTCTTACTGGAGTTTAACAAATAACTGTGTGTGCCAGTAGAGCCAGGGAAAAGTCTGTGGTGTTTAGTTTGTAATAAAGAGAAGGTAATGTGACAGAGTTATGACACTTCTGTTCCCAGCAAAGCCAAGCTGAGTTATGTGTATAAGCACTTACACTGCCTGTCTAGGCTTATTTATAACTTGTGGGTGAGCTGTTATTCAGCAATTTTTAAAGCAAGGACTACCTTTTTGGCTTTTTTTTTTCCCAGTTAAAATCTTTTTTATTTAAAATCTTTTTTTATTTAAAGCTAAGACTACTAGACCTTGGACAGGTTTGGGGAGGGAACAGTGTGTAACATCAAAATTTAGTTTGCCATCCAAACCTGAATCATGTAAAATAGAATGAATAAATTTAGATCCCATCCTAATGGAAGTCTGTCCAACACTTCTAACTATCTCTCTTTGTTATTTTTGGGGTTTTTTCCTTTCTTTTTCTTATAGCTGGCCAGCAGGGATTATCAGTTGCTTTTGATTTAGCCACCCACCGTGGTTATGATTCAGACAATCCCCGAGTTCGAGGAGATGTTGGAATGGCTGGAGTTGCCATCGACACAGTGGAAGACACCAAAATCCTTTTTGATGGAATTCCTTTGGAGAAAATGTCCGTTTCCATGACAATGAACGGGGCAGTCATTCCTGTGCTGGCTACATTCATTGTGACTGGGGAAGAGCAGGGAGTGCCTCAGGCCAAGCTGACAGGGACAATCCAGAATGACATCCTGAAGGAGTTCATGGTCAGAAATACCTACATTTTCCCCCCAGAACCATCCATGCGGATCATTGCTGACATCTTCCAGTACACCTCAAAGGTATTCATGGTTTAAATGTATAACTTCTATTACTGGGTTAAGTGTTTATGAGACACTTCGGAGAACAAAAAAAAGATGTCATAGAGAAGGTTGTGTAAAGGGCCAGTAGGAGAAGTTAAGATCCAACATCAATTATAATATAAATTTTGAGTCAGACCAGGTCTGCAAACACATCTTTGTAGAGAAGGTTGTATTTGCAGTCAGCAAGGAATTCAGAGAATGGGCTGGAGACAGGCTGAGAGAGCTGGGGATGTTCAGCCTGGAGAAAGCTCCAGGAAAACCTCATTGCAGTCTTTCAGTGCCTAAGGGAGAGTTTATAAAATAGATTGAGAGCAACCTTTTACACCAATGGAGACAACTTTTTACACAGATAGTGACAGGACAAGGAGGAACATAAACCAAAAGAGGATTTAGATTAGATGTTAGAAGAAATTTTTCCCTGTGAGGCTGTTGAGGCCCTGGCAGAGGTTTCCCAGAGAAGCTGTGGCTGCCCCATCCCTGGGAGTGTCAAAAGCCAGGGGCAGCCAGGGTTAGTGGAAGGTTTCCCTGCTCCTGGCAATGGTGTTGAAACTAGATGACCTTTAACTCCTTTCCAACTCAAGCCATTCTGTGATTCTGTGTTAATGTTGATAGAACAAGTATTTGATACTCTCTTCTGCAGTTACATCATGTTGTATCTTTTTTTTTTTTTTTTTTTTTTTCAGTATATGCCAAAATTTAATTCCATTTCCATCAGTGGGTACCACATGCAAGAGGCAGGAGCTGACACCATCCTGGAATTAGCTTATACCATAGCAGATGGCTTGGAATACTGCAGAACTGGGCTTAAAGCTGGCCTCACTATTGATGAATTCGCACCTAGGTGAGCTCCAGAAATTTGCAAGTATTAAACTAATTTTTGGTAAAATCTCTATAGAGTTTAATATCAAATTCAGTATTTTTACACATACAAGCAAATAGGAACATTCCCATCATCTGTGAAAGTGCATTAATCTGAGACCTTGCTGTAGGGCTTCTACATTACTGATCCAGAGTTACCTGAATGATTCAATGGTATCTTCTGTTCATGTTCTCCTATCACAGGCTCTCTTTCTTCTGGGGAATTGGCATGAACTTCTATATGGAAATAGCAAAGCTGAGAGCTGGGAGGCGGCTGTGGGCTCACTTGATTGAGAAAATGTTTAAGCCCAAGGATTCCAAATCTCTTCTGCTGAGGGCTCATTGTCAGACTTCGGGCTGGTCACTCACTGAGCAGGTTAGAAATTAGACTCTCATCAATCTCCTTGTTTGTGTTCTCATGGTGTGTGTCTTAAAGGGTGGTGCTACTGCTGGTGCTACTCACAAAGGTGCAGCAGCTGTCCTCTCACTCTGACAAATGCACACACAGGCATTGGATACACCTTTATGTCAATTCAGGACTCAGAGGATGAAGCTCTCTTGGATTTGTCCTGTGAGTTATCCTTCCAAAATGCAGTGCAGTCAGCAGATAGAGGCACTTTTTTCTCAGGATCACTGGCTTGAGAATTCATTTGAGCAGCCAAGGGAGTCTTTCACACACCTGATGCTCAGGGCTGAAGACAGAAGTAATGGTTACAGCTCATCTGCTCCTTTGAAACTGGGAGCACTCTCTGCTCTTTCTGCTGATTTACCTTACAGCAAGGAGATAAACCATTAGAGTGCACACAGTTTCCCAGGTGAGATCGGAGCTGGGTTCCAGCTCTGATCCCAAGGCCTGCTGCTCAATCAAAGTCATGTAATAGGAGTTATTTTTAGGTTGTGATTGTAAGCCTTATCGACTTCTGTGCCTTGTTTTTTTTCTTGGTTTTTTTTTTTTTTTTTTTTTTTTTCCCAAATAAATGTAATGATTACTTACATTACAACAACACAAAACAAAAACAGTGGAATTTTCTGAACAGTGGCCTCTGTGGGTCCTCCAATTAAAAGTATTGTGCGAGTGCAAGAATGTTATTATTACCAAAATTATATTCAATTGCCTTCCAGTGTAAATATATTTCTGGCTAGATCATAACTCTTTCTTTTTGTCTAAACATTGTGGTTTATTTTAGTATAGCGTGCAATATTTTCTCCTTATAGGTTTCAGAGGGCAAATATACTTACTATGCCTTTAGATAGGTATCTACTCATAAATTATGTTTTACATTCTTACCTATCCAAATCACAGTTTTCTATAATTACCTTATGTGATGCCATCATAAATGAAAATATTTAGGCACATTTAGTTCCAAAACACGTCTTGACTAGTAATTTGTCTGACACATGTACTGTTCACTGCTCCAAGAATTCTGGATTTGGAGGATAGAAGACATCAGGCATACTGTTCCATCCTCTCCAATTTGGATTCACTCATTTCTTTGAAACACCACTAAGCATAAATTAGTCTTTTATTTGTTGCTGTGAGCAGCTTTCTTTATGGATTATCTCTTTGTTAAGATATCGACAAGTGATAAATCAGTTTGATTTGGGTTTTTTTCAGCTTTTGTTTTGATTACACTGTTTCAGTGGGGAATTTTGCATTTGTTTCTTTGCAATAATGACTAACCTACCTGAGCCCCGTGGCAGAACCACTGAGCTTCACAGCTCCCCTTTTCCTTCCAGGATCCCTTCAACAACGTCATCCGCACCACCATCGAAGCCATGGCTGCAGTGTTCGGGGGGACGCAGTCTCTGCACACCAATTCCTTTGACGAAGCCTTGGGGCTGCCCACAGTGAAGAGTGCTCGCATTGCCCGCAACACACAGATCATAATCCAGGAGGAATCAGGGATTCCCAAGGTGGCAGATCCCTGGGGGGGATCTTACCTCATGGAGTGCCTCACCAACGATGTCTATGAAGCTGCTTTAAAGGTCAGTTTGCAAAACGTTCTCTGGGAAAATTTTAAGGATAGGAGTTTTGAGAAGTGTCTTCTAAGGGACGGTGTGATAAATTGGTAACTTCTAATCAAGGAATTATTTTACACTTCTGCTTCAGTGATGTCTTTGTAAATAAACTTTACAAAACACAGTTTAGCACACAGAAGCATATAAAAAATGTTTAATGAAAATGTGGGTGGTAGGACAGGTACAAAGCTCAAATTTTTAAACCTTGCTACTACTCACTATCTTGATCCTCTTCATTTCTCAGCTTATTGAGGAGGTAGAAGAAATGGGTGGAATGGCCAAAGCTGTTGCTGAGGGGATCCCCAAACTTCGTATTGAAGAGTGTGCAGCCCGGAGACAAGCCAGGATTGACTCTGGTAAGAGCCGGGGGATGAAAGAAGGGAAAGTTGCCAATAGAATCCTTCAGTATAACATTATTTACAGACATGTTCATTGTGATTTTTTTCTCAATTTAGGAGTAGCAGATTGTGAGTGCTAGAACAAATGGTGATGGTTTTATGTCAGTGAAAGCTCTGGAAAGAGACAGAGTGTACAAAATACAGCACCAGTGTGAAAAGTCTTGTTTGACATCTTCAAGATTAGATTAGACAAAGCAGCAGAAACATCATTTTAAAGGAGTGTTTGTAGTCTTCAGGAGTGAATGGCTTGATTTCTGATAGAAGCTCTAAGATGTGATTCCTGAGTTTAAAAGCAGAAATGCCACCAGATGGCGATACTCACCGTAGCTGGCAAAATTCCTGGGTTTTTCTGGAAAACTGCCCGTTTTTCCTGAATGGTCAGATCACAGCAGAGGATGATACAGCTCCCTGTTTGCTATACATATGTGTATATACTCAAAGAGTAAGTATTTATACGTGTGTGCTTAAAACTCTATTCCACTCTTTGTAATCTGCATTCCAGTAGTAATCCAGGAACAGAAACTAAAGATAACTCAAACATGAAAGAAGTTATATGGATTTCTTTGTATGGAGGATAAATTTGAAGCAGGTCTTAATTAAGGCAAATAAAGAATAATCAGTAAAGTTCTCTGTTTTCTCTTGTAAGGTAAATTATTTAATGTTGCTTCAAAGAGTGTATTAATGTTATCAGGCACTGCAAATAAAAATATCTGGTAAGTCCATAATGATTGAAACCTAAAATATAATTTTCCAACATGATAAATTAATTTTTATGCACATGGAGTAGTTTTAGGTAGGAATTTCACTTTCTTATCTATCTGTTAAATCAGAAAAGTAAATGCAGAGCAGGAGATCAGCACTGCTGCAGAGTTCTGTCAGATACACTTATGTAAGTGTAAAAAGAGAAAAATAGCCAATGTATTTTAGGGACTCATTACTAAATCAGTTTGCAAGATAAGTATTGTTCTATTTCTTTTTTTTTTTTTTTTTCTGCTGGAGTATTCACTGAGTTGAATGTTCATGCATTTAATCTGGAAAATACAGACTTAAATCTGTTCTATAAGAGCAGATTTTACATATTTGAAATGTGTATGGCTATATAAGCAAAGCAATGCATAATAATGCTAAAAATCTTCTTGTCCTGTTAACATGTCTTTTCACAATAGTTTGCAAATGTGTTTTGAGTTTCTGGTGTTTCCACTGGAAATAGGGTCTGAAGTAATTGTTGGAGTGAACAAATACCAGCTAGAGAAAGAGGAGACAGTGGAAGTTCTGGCCATTGATAACTCTGCAGTCCGTGCCAAGCAGATCGAGAAAATCAACAAGGTGAGAACAACTTTCTTAAAAATGAAACTTATTCTAATTGCAGACAGATATTAAGTAAAGGCAGCTTGCCAGAAGTTTGACCTTCCAATTTATGAGAGTCCATTCTGGTCATTAGAAACTGGAATATATATCTGTATGTCCAGCCTTTAAAAATTGAGAGCTTTACATGTTCTGAAAATAAGATAGAAAGCGATGTTTCGCTCTAAAAGCCTGTAACATTGCTTAATCACTCACTGTTGGGTGCTTTTTGTCAAATGCTACTGAGTGTTACAGAGCCATAAATCAACATCCACTTTCATAACCAGTGAAAACACAGATAAAATTGGTTTAGGGTTATGTTATGGACTTGTACACATTTTAAGGTTCGAGATGCCTTTGACTTCTAATCTCATTGAAATAGGAAGTGGATATTGACAATTCCACATCCAGAATTAATATTAGTCTTCCACACTCGACTTCCCATTTCACTTTGTGGTTTCTTTGAACTGTCTCTCTCCTGCACTTTAGGTGAAAGCCAGCAGAGACGAAGCAGCAGCCCAGCAGTCCCTAGCTGCTCTCACACAATGTGCTGCCACTGGGGAAGGCAACTTACTTGCTCTGGCAGTGGAAGCAGCACGTGCCAGGTACTGGGGTTGAACAGCCAATTCTTATTTAAAGATTGTTGGTTCGTTTTCACCTTTTAACTTTTCTTGGGTGTGGTGTCAGCAAGATTGGAATTTTGGGGTTTTTCATTAGAGGTGGAAGTAAATAATGCCTGCAGTTTCACATTGTAAGACAAACTATTATTATATTACAACTTCTGAAGGCAATGCTTTAATTTCTCACAAGGAACACTACGGATATAAATAATCTGATATGAAATTAGGCTGTTTGTACACATTCTGCTGTTTACAACTCATTCTTACCAGTTCCAGGATGTAATTGAGTTTCTCTGTCACTCAGCTGTTTCATGGGTGAAGGAGTTTAAGAAGTATCTGAGATGTGAAAATGGATATTCACAGTCTTATCATGCTCTGTTGCTTCATCCTTCCTTGCACCACAGATTGGTGTGAAAACATTTTTTGGCTGAAGGAGAAATCAGTTTGCTTAGTCAGGCAAAGTTGTAAGAAATGTTCTTGAGCAGTGTTAGGCATCCTTAGAGTCCAGGGGAACAGTTCTTTTTTTCACCCAAGGTGCTTTTGAGGCTGTTTTCTTTCCTGTTTCAAGGTCAGCATCAGTCTCTAGAATAGATCCTGTCTGTCTGTTCCTTAATTAACTAAATGGCCCAAATATGGGCAAACCAAATTCACTCTGTTGGAGTGCTGCCCTGTTTTTACTGTCAGGTCTCAAATTGCTTCATTCCCATTCCTAGAATACTTAATAACTGTATTTTAAATGTATTTAACCACAACCTGTCAGGAATCTCCAGCAGTATGTCTACATTTGTCTTGGAAATGGGAAGGTCACAGGAGGGGAGTGTTGGATTTACAGCACTCCTAGTTTCTCTCCTTGGTGACCTTGTTTTTGTTAACTGTAAAAGCTTTAATGGACTGAAGATGCACTTTGTAAGTTCCAACCACAGAACTTAATTCTGCCCCAAAACTATATATGGGATGTGACCATAGAAAGAAACTGTTGTGGCATCTGTGTTTGAAGGAGGATTGTGAGCTCTGGGAACATGTACAGGGAGCCTTGTGGTGGGTGCAACATGGGAAAAGGTTTCAAACTTAACACATTCACCCTTCACAAGCAGTAAACAAGTGGGCCAGTGTTACCTGTATGAGAGGGACAGCTGCCTCTTTCCTGGCCAATGGAAAATGATGGATTATGAGCATGGTGTATTATAACTCACTTGGAATAAAATGAGTAGCACAGAATTATCAGTGCTGAACTATGGAAAAGATTCCGTAGACTAGTACAGAGATTTCATTGCTGACAAACACGAGTAGAAAAGTTAATGTTGTTATTCTAACACAAGAAATAAGGCAGATCTGAAGTTACAGGCAATGAGAGCAGTACCTCCCTTCTCTGCTTCATGTCTCTTGAGAAACCCCATTATAGGAAAGTGGGATAGGTTACACAAAGTTCTTTCTCTTCTCCCTCACCTGCTGTGCTGTTTTTGTGTCCCTCTTCAGACTTGCAGTTCAGTGATGGAAAGGGAAGGCAGAAATGCAGTGTAGCAGCTTGTGCTTCTCCTTTTTCTTTTTCTGCCCAATCTGTGTCCTCGTGGTACTTCCTCACCTGATTTCACACTGCTGCCTCTGCTTACTGGGGAAATGCAGAGAGGAGCAGCAGCAGCTGAGACTGAGCAGACCCGGTGCAGCTCTTAACAGGCACAGTATGGTCATTGACTTTCTCCAAACTGGTGTTTAGGCTCTGCAGCTGGTTGTGAACCACTGGGAGAGAGTCACACACAAATACAGACTGATAGAAAGAATGCTGTATTCGTGGCTCCAGAGACAGCTATTCCATTGTGGCTGGATATGTGGCAGAGATTTTAAAAAGAAAAAGTTTATTGGTTAACAGCAAGAAAGTATTCATTAGCAGTTTAAAAGCAAAACTCCTTTATTACTTGAAAGCATTAGATTTAAAGGGTTGCAGAGATTTGGGACACACTACAGCCATGCTGGGCTTTATTTAATACTGAGGTATGCTCAGATACTGCTTCTGCAAAAGTTGAGGAGAAAGATTTATCTAAGCTTAGTTTTCTCTAGAAAAAAAGGTGTGTTTTATACCACTGCAGCCCATCACCACACTGCCAGAAGTAAGCCTTCAATGTTTGTGCATGCAGTGTATTTATTTTGGGCTGCAATCTGTGATGTCTGGCACTCTGAAAGGGAGTCAATATTTATAGACACTGTTTTTAAGTCTGCTGCAAACTTGCTTTTTAACCTTGGGGAAGCCACCTTCCCTAACATACTTTTGCAGTTTACTTTTCATTCTTTGTTAGAAGGTATAGAAAGCAATAATATTAATAAGATTATTTAGATGCTCTGAAAATGAAAACCTGATGGCACAGTGATTAATAGTGAGTCAAAGAGAATTCCAGAAAGCCAGAGAAGGAGAAATGACAAAAAATGGCCAAAACAGTATCAATAACATGAGTTAAAAATGTGTTTTCCAGAGTGATGCTGTGTTTAGGCAAAGCTAGCCAACTGTGAAAAGTGATGCCAGAGATAAGAGGCTATTTCAGATATCTGAGCTGTATAGATCTTGATATGTGATCACAAATGGATTTCTGACATTTTACCTTTGCATAGTTTACATTTGTAACTAAGTTTGCTGAGTATGAGCCAGCAAAAGAAGAAATTAGTTGAGGGGTCACAGGAAGTAAAATATCTCTCTGAAATTTACTGAAAGATTCAGTGAATGCAGCAGAAATTCATGCTTTGTTACTTTAGGGGCATGTGTGGCAGGTTTGCACGTGGTAGGAATCAGTACCTGCTGAAACTGCAGCAGAGGTGTGTGGACATGCGAGGTGCATCTTCTCCAGTCTTTCCTGAGCATTTTATATAAAAGCTTTAGAGAATGCTTAAGTTAATTTTGCCCCAGAGTAGTTTCTAGTTAAATCATAGAATCATTTAGGTTGGAAAATTCCTTTAAGACCATTGAGTCCAACCACTCACCCAGCACTGCTAATCCACTACTAACCCATGTCCTCAAGGGCCACATCTACAAGCTTTTAAATCCCTCCAGGGATGGGAACTCCACCACTGCCCTGGCCAGCCTTTGCTACTGCCTGACACCCGTTTCAGTGAAGGAATTTTTCTGAATTTCCAACCTAAGCCTCCTCTGGTGCAACTTAGGGCCATTTCCTTTTGTCTTGTCATTTGTTACATGGGAGAAGAGAGCAACCCCTACCTGGCTCCACTCTCATTTAGGGAGTTGTAGAGAATAAATATAATGTGGCAGGAGAAAATATGAATTCCAGAGGTTTGAAATGTGCTAGCTTAATTAGTTATGTAGTTAATACTGCTTTGGTGTCTATATTTGTAAGCGCAGTTTTGAAGTGATTTAGAAGAGTAGTATTTTTATTTCCTTCCTTTGACAAAGTTTGCAGCAAGTTGTATTCACCAATTTTTCAATTGCTTTGGGATGGAGGCTGTTATTGCTGATGTTTGAAGACAGCACAGCCTAGTTTGCCTCCCTCACTTGTGCTACAGCAGAAGTATTATTTCAAACATGTACAGTGTGTCCAGAAGCAAACAAAACTTGTAACTTGCACATAAATTTCCCAGATACTTCTGCATCTACTGGGTGAAGGAGCTGTGTTAGGAGTAGAGGAGAAGAATAAACACTAAAATAAAAGTATCAATGGAAAGGCAAATAAATTCCTGTTGAAATCTTAGATTTCAGTCTCTTCTGTTTGTTCTTCCTTTTTTTTTTCCCCTCTTGATTTACATTTTATATTTTAGCATGAGTCCAAATGCAGGATCTTTCAGTCTGAGCCCAAAAAAAAAACCCATTCAGAAAATCTGATTTAATTTTCTGAAGCATTTTGCCATTCCCCATTGCCTTGCCAGCTGTAAATCAATTCTCACATGAGCAATAAAGTATTTTCTTAAAAATGCCTGTGCATGTTTTGACAGTGGGTGGCAGTGGGGTGAGCTGGATTTTCACAGTTGCAGCGCTGAAAGGGAAACCAGTGTAAGTAAATTTGTCCAGCAGCAAGGCAAATGGTTGGGCCAGTGCCAGTGATGTCTGTGTTCTGTTTTCATTTCAGCCTGCTGATAACAGGAATGGTTTTTGTCTGTGCCTCAGGTGCACCGTGGGGGAGATAACAGATGCCATGAAGAAGGTGTTCGGGGAGCACAAAGCCAGCGACCGCATGGTGAGCGGGGCTTACCGCCAGGAGTTTGGGGAGAGTGATGAAATCCTTCATGCCATCAAGAGGTGAGAACTCTTCCCAGACAGCCAAACATGCAATGGCCTCACATTTAATCCAGGAGGTACATGTCTTGCTGACTGTGCCCTAAAAAAACATTTCCCAAACCTGGTGACATCCCTGAGGAAAACAATGACCTGCAAAAGCACTTTTAACCAGGAAAGTAGAATGGCAAGGATTAAGTACAATAAGACGAAGTCAAAACTTAATAGAACTTGTATTTGCTTGCAAATAAAATTCACTGAGGTGAAGTTATGATTTGAGGGTTTTGTTCAAATAGCCTAAGCTGCTGCAGGATTAAGAAGCTGAGAAACATTGCCTGAAATCCCTGTACATTGGGTTGCTTCTTTTAAAGGCTGTGTAATAGTCATCTTTAAAATATTTCCAGCAGTTCGTACTACAAAATCTTGTTTTGATCTACCCATAAATTGTTCCTGCAATTTCACTCTCACTGATGCTAAAATCTGTCTGGATATTCACATACAGCCTCCAATCTTTGGTTATTACTCATACCCCGATGGAGAAGGCATCCCAAGATGCTGGTATGTGTGAAAACAGTTGCCTTGTGGGTCTTTTCTCAGCTTCTGCCTTTACTGCTGCCCTCAGGGGTACAGAGCCTGAAATGCTGCTGTGGGAGATGATGCAGCACAAATCAGTCCCTGCTGTGCTGGGGCTTACCCTTAAGAGTTCAGGCTCTCCCGAAAGGGAATTGCTGATGGCTTTGCAGTGGTGATGATTAGATTGACTTGAAAGTAGTTGTGCTAGGAAATGTCACCATTGTTCTTTTATTTTAACTATTTAAATTTAACTATTTTTAATTATGCTTTTATGTGGAAGGGAACTGAACTAATCTTGATTTTCACCCTTGAAAATCAGGATGTAGCTCCCTTTCTTACATAGAATCACAGAACCATTTAAATTGGAAAAGACTTCTAAGATCAGCAAGTCCAGCCTGTAACCACAGATAGATGCTGGTGGTACTTGAATAATGAGCAGTATGATGACAGGTTAATATCTGAGGCTGTGATTACACAGTACCATCAATACAACAGAAATATGAACTGCCACTATCCAAAAAAAAGAGGGGCAATGGAACAAGTGCACAGAATAGGAGGTAAAATAATCCTTCCATGGACAGATTTTTACCCAGTGGAATGATAATGCACAATGTGATGTCCAGGACCCATCTCTGTGCAAGTACTTTTGAAATAATAGGTCATAATTATTCTTAAAAATTAAAAAATGTGTTTTGGTGAGTTGTAATTCAGCTCGTTAAACTCTCAGAGAATTCAGTAGTTTACCTGTTAGAAAGCAAAAGAATAAGGGAAGATTTTTTTAAAATGAAGAATATTTTATTTTTGAGGCTGCTAAGTACAAGAAGTGAGTTAGTAATAACATAACATGAATATTAACGTTGTGTGCAGATTGCACAGCCAAACCATGACTTAGAAGATCTTTTTATTTGCTGAAATTTTGCTACACTTGCATAAAGTGCTGGGTTTTTTTGTGTTGGATTGCACGGTGACTTGCACTGACAGAATGTGTGTTTTCAACCAGAGTTAACAAGTTCGTGGACCATGAGGGCCGCAGGCCTCGTATCCTCGTTGCCAAGATGGGCCAGGATGGCCACGACAGAGGGGCCAAAGTCATCGCTACCGGCTTCGCTGACATCGGCTTTGACGTGGATATTGGCCCCCTGTTCCAGGTAGGCCTGAGCAGCGGGCAGAGCATTCCCTTTGCATCCCCTCTCCCCGGGCTGTGCCCAGCCCCGGGCTGGGCCCTGCCCTGTCCCCCGCGCTGTGTGCCCGCAGACCCCGCGGGAGGTGGCGCAGCAGGCCGTGGATGCAGACGTGCACTGTGTCGGGGTGAGCACGCTCGCCGCGGGGCACAAAACCCTGGTGCCTGAACTCATCAAGGAGCTCAACGCCCTGGGCCGGCCCGACATCCTGGTCATGTGTGGAGGAGTCATCCCCCCTCAGGTACAGGCAGCATCATTTCCATCGAGCTAAGAGACTGATCCATCTCTGAGCTGTTTAGCTGTTTCCCCTGTTCTGTAATGTCAGAGCACTGAGGGCTTCTCTGTACAGTCACCAGGGCCAGCACAGGTCTGTAAGGTGGGATCCCCCTGATCTGATTTTCTGTACACCATGCCCTGGTTTAACTTTGAGTGTTTGTGGGATGGACTATGCAGTTATGTTGTGAAAAGATGAGTTTCAGGGAGATGTTCTTTATGCTCTGTTGTTTCACATCACCAGTCCTTGCATATCGTTGGTACAGGCTGGCTTCTGTCTTAAGAGGCCTTTTGACTTCCAGTGATGGTTGGGAATAGCCACAGCCAGTGACTAAGGCCCCTGTCAGGTCCCATCACCCATAAGCTGCACGCCTCACTCATTTTTCAGCCTCTCCTCCCCTTTGCCATCATCAGGCAGGTGTTGCCTCTCATTCCCTCTGTCTCCCTCATTCTCCTAAACGGTTGAGCAGTTTGTTGAATTCCCTTGCAATCAGATCTGTGTTTTCATCTTTAAATTTTCCTTAGCTAATGCAGAATCTGCCTGTCTCCATCACCTTACAGCCATTCTCTGTCTATAGTGATCCAAAACTGATTTTGCACATAAACCTCCTGTTATTCCCTTTTTCCACACCTCTCCCTTTTCTAGGCAGTTAAGTAAGTTTTCAGGAATGATAGAATTCTAAACTGAACAAACTCATAGTATTTTTCTAGGAGACAATTTGTGTTTTGTCCAGTATCTCTCAATGGGATGCTAATACCCTGTGGTTGGTAAAGGTATAATATATACTATATAGAAGAAAGAGAAAATACAGAACTACTTCCCAAGTCTTTTTGAAATTTCAGGACAGTCATAAAATTAGATTAATTCTAGATTGCAAGAGACCACTGGCAGTCATCTGCTCGAGCCCTTGTTTAAAAAAGTATTTTCAAAATTAGAAGTTAGATCAAATTTAGGTTAGGTTATTCAGACTCATACACAGTTGACTGTTGAATACTTTCCAAGGATTGCCATTAGTCTGACTCTAAAGAAATAAACCCTTTCCTATGGATATTTTTTTTCTACTTTCTAACTTCCACCCTTTTCCCATTTCCTTGAAACTGTGCTGCCTCTCTCTGGGACTTGTTGCTTTCTCAGGCCCAGCATAGAGGACAGAGCATGAACCAGTTATAAATCAATTACCAATTGTCTGTTTCACTGTTAACTACAGACCTTAAATCTCTTTTCCAACAGGATTATGACTTCCTGTATGAAGCCGGCGTTGCCAATGTGTTTGGTCCAGGCACTCGTATTCCAAAAGCAGCTGTGCAGGTGTTGGATGACATTGAGAAGTGCCTGGAGAAGAGGCAGCAATCCATGTGACTCTGAAATGTCACAACTCAGCAGCCTTACACCGACCACTTGATTGTCAGCAAGGTGTGGCCAACCACAAACCTCTGCTCCCACTGCCCCCTGGCCTCGTGTTTTGTGCTTTCTAAAAAAGTTCTAAACTCTCTGCTTGTTCTATTTGAGGATTATTTATATAGATACCCACAAGAAAATTTTATCTCTAGAACTATGATTTCAGGAAGTGAAGGGAATTCAAATAAGTTGTGTTTGGTTTTTTTTCCTCCAGATATACTGATAAATAACTGCTGCAGCTCTTTGGTTGGTCTCTTTTGCATGCAGAGAACTTGTTTTGAATTTTTTTGATAGTTATAGTAGACCTAGAACTCTTCTGGCAGTATCACTCATCAGCAGAGATGGGATTGAATCCAGCAGCACTTTGATTTGAGAAATGGGGGCTTCTCAGGCAAGGGCAGTGATGGGGACAGAGCACAGTGCACAGCTGCTCCTATACAGGCTACTGCCATCTACAGCATTTGTATCTTATTAAGCCATTACATTCAAAAATTTTCTAACTATAGTTTTATAAAGAGAGTTATGTTGTGGCTGCCCCATCCCTGGAAGTGTTCAAGGCCAGTTTGAATGGGGCTTGGAGCAACCTGGGATAGTGGAAGGGGGTTGGAACAAGATGATCTTTCAGGTCCCTTCCCACCCAAACCACTCTATGATGCTGTGTTTCTCTGATTCTGTGAAGTTGTTAATCAAACAGCTTGTGTTTTACATTAATGAGCACCAAAACTGTTATGTGGGTGAAAGAAGAATCCAAGACAAAGTTTAAGTTGCACAGTATTACTGGCAAAGTAATGGGGTGGAATCCAAGCCTTTGTAATGTTATCCTCGTGCTCTAACTTCTGGAATAATGACCTCTCTCAAATTTGATCTTTGTTCTGAAGTGAATCACATTTAATTTTGCAGATGGAAAATTGACCATTAACAGAAGTTTTCTATAAAAAATCAGTAAGTTATTCCTGTGCCTTAATAGCCAGAGACTGCCTAGAAGCTTTTTCAAAACAAGGCATTGAAATTAAACTTATTTCATTACATATCAGAGTTTTAGTTGTGTTATCCAACATTATACGTCATCATCTTTATATGATGGCATAAAAAGTGTCATATCTTATGACTCTTGATATGTCATAAATGGAGTAAGGAGTTCCATTTATCCTCAATGGAAAGAAAAAAGCCAAAGGTGGCTGGCTTAGGTTGAGTGTCTGCATTGTAATCCTCCTCAGAGTGGTGAGAAAACTCCTAATATGTGAGAGGTCTGATCTGTTGGAGATTTTAGATTAAATTTTTTTTTTTGTATTGAGGTGGTTGTACTGGTGATTGCAAACATGAGGTGCCCAGACTCACTCCTGAACTCAGTGCTTGCATCCTGAAAAGACAGCACAGTCCACGGCTGGGTAGGAAATAACCATGGAATTATAATTTGACCATAAATTACCTTCTCAAAACTTAAAAAAACAACCAAACAAACCTGGTGTTATGGTTCTACTGAATCAGCAAACTCTGTTCTCAGTTGCAGTCATGTCAGTGCTCTAGCCAGGGGGGAATTTGGGATCTCAGGAGCTCCCATGGAAGCTATGAGAGCCAGGACTGCATCTGCAGGGTGACACTGCTAGGGAGGTCACCTGGGGAATGCCTTGTGTCATCCTGTACAGAAAACAGCTGCAGAGAAAGGGTGGTAAAACACTGGAACAGGCTGCCCAGGGAAGTGATGGAGTCACAATCCCTGGAAGTGTTTCAAAAATATGTGGATGTGGCACTGGAGGACGTGGTTTAGTGGTGAACACGGTGGTGATGGGTTGATGTTTGGATATGGTTTTAAAGGTCTTTTTCAACCTTAAGTGTTCCAATAGCTTCTGTGGCAGAAGAGCTGTTGTGCCTCAGCCAGCAACAGCTGAAGGACACAGTTCCTCCTGCTGAGAGCTTCCTTCCCTTCCCACTGTGCCATTTGGGACACACAGAAGGCATCCTTCACTGACTGCCACCTTCCCACCAAACCTCATCTGACCAAGGCTGCTCTGCTCCTTGGACTTGTGCTTGGAGGAGTTGGAGCTGCACCTCTGAGAGAGCAAGGAACCAGAGATCTCTAATTTTGGGAGCAGCCACATTCTCACCTTTTCCTGGCAGTGAACATTTCTTGCTCCCCATATGGTTTTCAGTCTGAATTGCTGGAAAAATACACACTCAGCTGTGTTTACTGCTAACAGTGTGTGCAACCTTTGGTTTTCCCTCGTGGCTGTGGTAGGGCAAACAGTTGGCAGATAGATTGCATTAAATAAAATCAAAAGTATAGGAAAAAAATCAACAAAAATAATAAATGTCTTTTTACCTGAAAATAAGTTTAATTTACATGATTTTATGTTTGGTACATAAATCTATTTCCCCTAAAGTGGAGGCTTAAAGACAATATTTGAGAGTTGCTTAAAAATATATACCTAAATCTCTTTATTGACGTAAGATAGGCAGTGACAACCTCATTTCCTGCACCCCTGCTCCTTTGGGCCTGGGAGTGAGGCGGGGTTGACCCCATGGCTGCACTTCAGGGAGCTGCAGCTCCCGGGTTCTGCACCTGCGGCGCCGCAGACAGACGGATGTTGTCCCTCCCACTCCACATGGTGGACAGGGGATTCTCCACGGAGTTGTCGGAGCTGAAGTAGTGAACCCGCCAGGCACAGCAGCACTGCAGCCTCTTAACCTCGCAGCGGAAAGTCTTACTGAAGACGTAGTAAATGAAAGGGTTGTAGGCCGTGGAGGACTTGGCAAACAGGCAGGGCAGCAGCGTCACCACGGGCTGCAGGGAGTGGCTGGAGTTAAAGATGGACCAGAAGCTGGTGGCTGCATAGGGAGTCCAGGAGCTCAGGAATCCCACTGAGATGAGCACGGCCATCTGCAAGGGAACAGAGCTGTTTGCAGCTGGCACAGACAGGGTGGGTGTGCATGGGGCCACACCTGAACTGCAACAGCCGAAGCTGTGCTTGCTGGGCCCTTATGACAAGAGACACATTGAGGGGCTGGAGCATGTCCAGAGAAGGGGACTGAGCTGGGAAAGGGTCTGGAGCACAGGTCTGATGAGGAACAGCTGGGGGAGCTCAGCCTGGAGAAAAGGAGAGTCAGGAGGAGCTTACACACTCTACAACTCCCTGGAGGGTAGAGCCAGGTGGGGGTCAGGCTGTGCTCCCAGGTAAAAAATGAAAGGACAAGAGGAAATGCCCTCAGGTTGCACCAGCGGATGTTTAGATTGGATATTAGTAAGCATTTCTCTATGGGAAGGGTTGTCAGTCATTGGGACAGACTGCCCAGGGCAGTGGTGGAGTCACTGTCTTTAGCAATATTAAAAAAAAGTGTTGCTGTGGTGCTTAGGGACATGGTTAAGTGGTGGGCCTCTCAGTGCTTAATTAATGGTTGGACCTGATGATCTTAGAGACCTTTCCCAGCCTGAATGATTCTGTGATTGTATGACTGGCCTCTAGAAAGCTTGGATCAATTCTGTTTTTCCACAAGAAATGCACTACTGAAGTCCATATTTGGAAAAAAAAATACTATTTAATATTAATATATTAAAATACTGTTTCCACACAGAATTTCTGTGTAGGTGTCTGTAATTCCATGATTCTGTGAGCTGTGTATGAGCAGAGCCAGCTCTCTGCCAGCTCCTGATTACTGCATGCTCTTCCCATCACAAGGATAACTCACCAGGGTCAGCTTCTTCTCCAGTTTGGCTGCATTGGGGATCCTGTCAATGTTCTGGATCTCCTGGTATGCTTTATGAACCTTCCAGGCAATCCCCAAGTAGCAGGCAACGATGGTCAGTGCAGGCAGAACCGTGCACAGGAGGAACATGCTCAGGATGAAGGAGAAACCATTGGAGGAGTTGTGGAATTTGCTCCAGGCTATGGTACAAGAGATGCCAAAGGGCTCAGGGCCGTAGTAGCCCCAGCCCACCAAGGGCAGGATGGCCCAGAGCAAGGAGTAGAGCCAGATAAAAGCAATCAGGATGCAGACAGTGTTCTTGGTGATTTTGTTATCTGCAAGAAAGAGGAAGAGCAAGCATTTATGGATCCCATCCCAGCCACATGGGGGTTTGCCATAACTTCTCCTTAGACAGAAGGATGGTGGCTCCAGGCACGCCTGGGCTGCTGCTGCAGGTCCCTAACCTTTGGGCTTCTAGAAACAGAGTGTCAGAGGGTTGGATGAGACATGAACACAGCCTTCAGTGCTCACCTAGAGCTCAGTAAGGCAGGGAGATTTACAAGATCAATTTCACCTTGAATGTGCAGTAGTCCTAGCCCAGGAATGCCAGAAGAATATTCCTTCCTTTTAAATTCCAGTGTATCTGCCTGGATACAAATAGGAAGGGAAGGCAGTCTGGTCCAAGAAAACATTTGTGTTCTCCATTTTGAGGTAGTTTCACTTGATAAAACTGAGAAGTGAAAAGCCTCATTGTTTCATACAGAATTTAATCAGATCCCTCTGGGAACACCAGGATTTGATACTCATTAAAGCTGAGGTTTATTCTGCTGTTACTGACCTGATAATCCACACCACATTCCACAAAGCACCTCCCAGAGCAGCCCAGCCCAACACAGCAGCACCGGGTGACCAGACGGGCGATTTACTCACTGTTGGATTTGGGTGAGTTGGTGACGAGGAATCGAATCACGGCCATGGCACACAGGGTCATCATGCTGCAGACCCCCAAGAGGAAACCCATCAGGGCATAGTACACACAGGAGGCGTCTCCCCCCAGCCAGGCGTGGCTCCAGGCGGAGGCGATGGCCAGCGGGTACATGCTGAGGGCCATCCCAATGTCTGCCACCGCCAGGTTCACTGTCAGCAGCTCTGGGGGCTTCAGCAGGGACGAGCGTTTCACAGCCGTGGCAAGGACGGCTGAATTGCCAAGGATTGTCAGGATGGCTGAAAGGGAAGGATGAACACAGGCAGGAATATCACATGGTTAAGATGCCTGGAAAATCCACTGGAAGTATGTGAAGTGCCTGAGAGAGGCTACAAGAGAGCTGAGGAGGGACATCTTACAAGAATATGTAGTGATAAGGGGAATGGCTTTAAACTGAAAGAGAGCAGGTCTAGGTTTGGTATTAGGTGTCCTTCCCTGTGAGGGTGAGGAGGCCCTGGCACAGGGTGCCCAGAGAAGCTGTGGCTGCCCCATCCCTGGAACTGTCCAAGGCCAGGTTGGATGGGGCTTGCAACAACCTGGGCTAGCGGAAGGTGTCCCTGCCCATGGGAGGGTTTGGATTGTCCTTCACTGTCTGCCCATGTGCAAGGTCACTTTTGTCTTTTTTACAAGCCCCCTTTAAGTGCTGGAAGGCCACAATGAGATCTCCCTGTAGCCTTTTCCAGAGAGAACCCCCCAGCTCTCACAGCCTTCTCCAGAGCAAAGGCGCTCCAACCCTCAGAGCACCTTTGCGGCCTCCTCTGGACCCACTCCAGCAGGTCCATGTGTTTCTTGCACTAAGAATATCCTCACTTCTCCTTCCTGCTGAAGTACTCCAGCCCTCCCAGCCACCTGTCCCCTGCACTTCCCAAAGCCTTTCCTCTGTGTGACTTCCCTCATCTTCAACTGGAGCCCCAGCTCTGGGCTCTGAGCTGCCTGGGTGGTGGGCATGTGCTGGCTGGGCAGCTCAGAGTCCCTGCTGATCCTGAGAATTAGCTTGACTGCTCTGGTGGTCTCTGAGAGCAGTGGGACCATGGGAGTTGTTTAGCCAGGGGTGTGCAACAGACCCAGAGCTTGCTTTGCAAAAGGAGCTGTCAGACATACATTATTCAGGTGTGCCACAGGCCTTCAAAGGGCTGGTGACAGCAGTGTCAGCAGTACATGCACCAAACAACTAATTTTCTCTCTTTCAAGTGAACATGGTTCTGTAGCAACATTTTGATGAAAGATTTTTCTGAGAAGGTGTCCTCTAAAGTCAGATGTGAAAGAGGGAGATAGAAAAATATTCTGTCATGTTCCCTTGTGGCTGTGAGTGCAGGAAGGCTGCATTTTCCCACTTGAAGTGCCCACAGAGGACTTAATAGAGGCACACACAATAAAATGGAATAAATATATTGGCATAAGTACATAATCCTCCAAGTTGTCAAGAGAAAGGCTTAACTGAAATGGGGACACAAATCTGAGACCCCATGTCCCTCCTTAATTCACTTTCTGACCACACACGTTCGCTTGCCACCTCTGGCTGCCCTTGGAGGGTTCCCTGAGCTCTCAGGATCTCTGCCTGATGCCCACGGGGGCTTGGCCACTTGCTGGCAGAGCAACCTGAGGCTCAGTGGGCAGAGCACTCTCCAGAGCCTTGGACACGGAACCATGGAATCATAGAATCCTTTGGATTGGAAAACACCTCTACGATCATCAGGTCCAACCATTCCCCAGCACTGACCAGGCCACCTCTAAAGCATGTCCCCAGATGCCACATCCACACAGCTTTTAAATCCTCCCAGGGATGGTAACTCCACCACTGCCCTGGGCAGCCTATTCCTATGCTTCCCAGTCCTTTCCATGAAGAAATGTTTCCTGGCATTTAATCTAAACCTGCCCTGGTGCAACTTGAGGCAATTCCTTCTTGTCCTGTTACTTGTTATCCAGGAGCAGAGGCTGATCTCCCCTGGCTGTCCCCTCCTGTCAGGAGCTGTGCAGAGCCACAAGGTCCCTCTGAGCCTCCTTTTCTCCAGGCTGAGCCCCTTTCCCAGCTCCCTCAGCCCCTCCTGGTGCCCCAGCCCCTTCCTAGAGTCACTCCAGCACTCCAGAGTCATTCTGTTTCTCACAATGAGGGTCCCAAAACAGAACAACCCCAGGTTTCAGGAGGAAAAATGAACCCAGTTCACCTTCTTCTGTAAAAACCCAACCTTACATAAGATGCAGGAAGCAGCTCTGTCATCAGAGGTGACACCAGGCCCAGCCTCTCCTTCCCCTTGACTGAAGCTCTTCCCCTCCATCCCACACCTGTGGGCAGCTGCCTGGCACAGGACAGAATTGTAACTATGGGACAGTAACCAAACAGCTGGTGCTGAATGCTGCTGCCCATGCCCTGGCCTTGTTCCTAATAAAAACATCATTTCAGGGCACAAACGTGCAGCCCAGTGAGGTGGCAAAGCTATGGATAAATAAATATGGATAAAAAAACCTGATTCCAGCTCAGCTCATTGCTTTGTTTCTGAGAGTCCCTGCAGGATGCAGTGAACCTGGCTGCCACACACGGCTCTGGATCTGAGGCTGGAAGTTGTGCCTGGAGTTTCAGTGCCTCAGAGTTCTTCAGGAGAGGTGTGAGACTGCAGCATGGTGGAACACTAACACGGGGAGCTCCAGCCTCCAGCCCTTTTTTGCTGCCCCTTCCCATTGTTCCTTAACTGCATCTATGTATTTGCACTTCTGAGAGATGGGAGCTGACATCCTGACTTGAAAAAGCCCTTCATTTTTTGTAAACAGGGATTTTCTTACCCTGAGTTGTGCTCTGCTGTGCAGAACAAGAGGAAATACAAAGTGCTAAATTCCAGCACATCTGCCCACAGCTTCAGTATTAATGCATGTGAAAATATAGGCTTGCCTTTCTTATGTCAACCAGAGTTTTCAAGAGAGCTGAAGGAAGGAATCTTACGTAAAATTCAGGTGGAAAGTATGCCTAAACAAGTTCCACTCCTCTCCAAATCTACGAGGGTAGAAAACAAATGCCTGTGTACACGCAAGAAGCAGACAAGGAAGAAAACACTTAACTGAAGCTAGGGGCTGGTAGCTATCCCCACTTGTTTTCATTTGCACTCTGCCTGCAGCAGGACAAACAGGCTGCTGCAAAACCCAGAACTGCTATTTGGAAACACTTTGCTGTCTGTAGCAGTGCATCCTACCCAGACACAGCAGAATGACACCTCTCCCACCAAGGGTCAGCCCACAGCTGCTTTCCCCTGACCAGTCCCATGGACTGAGCTGCCCTGGCTCAGTTCTCAGGGCTGAGATGCCACAGAAAGTGACACACAACTTATTTCAAGTACTTGTGATGCCACAGAGGCAGACTTGTGCTAGCCATTCTTCAGCATCAAAACAAAATATTCCAAATCCAAGAGTGCAGATTAATCCTGGCTGCCAACCAATTCTAAGGCACTAAGCAGGGGAACCTGTGGGGAAATATTTGCTGCCATTTCCCTCCAGGTTCTTCTGCCTGACCATAGCACAGACAGGGAATCCCTGTATCCTGTTCCCTGTCTCCAAGCTAAAACGCAGGCTGTGAACTCACCTATGATTAGAAGAAAGACCCCAGCTCCATAATCCACTACTGGGTGGAGTTTGGAAATGTACTGCTCCTCCATGGTCCCTTGTGGAGATGGGTGAAGGTTTTCAATCAAAGGTGAAGATGCTGCAGGAGCAAAGAGCTCGTCCTCATGGTTTGCCTGCTGCAGGTGGGAGCTGGTGTTGGGTGCTGGCAGTGCAGGGACCCTTCTGCTGCCTCCTTGTCCTGCCTGTGGTGTGGCAGGGCAGAAGCCTGGAGTGAGAGGAAGGATTTTCCCCTGGGAGGCAGAGTGAAAGCCAGGCAGAGCTGCTGCCAGAGCGATCCCGCCTGCCTGGCTGGCAGAG